TGGCCCTGAAATCTTTTTTTTTTTTTTTTTTTTTTTTTGTGCTAGCAGTTCCAATGGTCTTCTTTCAAATCCTGTTAATGGACCACAAAGCCCTCAATCTCTCCTAGAAAGCCATGGCAGCATCTTACCCACATTACCAAAACTCTCAAGGGCCCTGAGGAGGGGTCAACTTTTACTCTATTGTAAACTAACAAGTTAGCCTACCAGTTTCAAGGACACTGGTAGGAAAGATGAGACTCCCAGGTCACATACAAAGAACTTTGTAACTCATGGTACAGCAAGGAACATGGTATTGAACATATTTTAACCAGTTCCTCTGTGTACCTCAGGATAGGCCCAGAGGGGTGCCTGCACATGCAGTAGGTTGCATTACCAGGGAGAAAACGAGAACTTCAATGTTTTATCAAGGACACTGAGCGTACATTTTACTCTGGAGAGAAGACATTCTCTTCCAAGTTGTGTGCAAACTTGACCTTTGCTCTGGGAGTTTGCAAGAAGGAGGAGGAAAGGAAAGGAAGACACTCTTTTCAGGCAGCTCACTCACCATACAAACGTCTTGGATAGGACAGTCCAGGGAACAAGGGGTCCAGTGCCTCATTTAAAAAGGCATACAAAAATGCAAGAGAAATTCCCTGTAGGAAAAGAACAGATGTTAGAAAAAACATAAAAAAAATAAAAAATCAATGACAAAAAGCCCCGTAGACTTGCTGTTTGCACTGAAAGCACAAAGACTTATATTGACTTATTTATTTTTGTTTGGTTTTTGAGACAGGGCCTCACTATGTTGCCCAGTCTGGCCTCAAATTTGCAGACTTCCTATCTCAGCCTCCCGAGTGCTGGGACTACAGGTGTGTACCACTATAAACACTAAAGGACTCTTACAGATTTGTTGAGTTCACCAATTCCAACTCTGACCATTTAGACCCACTTCACCAACTTACATTAGATAAAATACTTTGCCCATGAAAGCACAATTCCAATATCATAAGAGTTTCCCCTATCAAACTTGAAGCAAGGTTTCTTGGCTGGAATTACCAATTTTCTTAAATATGTAAGGAATCTCTTTGGGAGCATATTCTCAACAAGGAAATAGTGGCAACACCAACGTACCTCCCAGAGCTTAATTTCCAATTTTACTTTCTCCTCAGCCTTTTTTTCTTTAAATTTGACTTACTTTGCATGTAGACCCAACTAATCTTCAGTGTTAGATATTAGCTCAAACAGAGGCCTTCTGATAAACCCTCAGGAGACTAAGGAAGATCTGATTAAAGGGGAAGTTCTACAGTTATAGATTAAAATTACGTTAAGGCCATATATTAAAATGTTAATGCAAGCCGGGTGCTGATGGCTCGTGCCTGTAATCCTAGCTACTCAAGAGGCAGAAACCAGGAGGATCTCGGTTCAAAGCCAGCCCAGGCAAATAGCTCCAGAGACCGTATCTCAAAAAAACCCATCACAAAAAAAAAGGGCTGGTGGAGTGGCTCAAGGTGTAGGCCCTCAGTTCAAGCCCCCAGTACTGCAAAAAAAAAAAAGCTAATGCAAATTCCTTTTTAGGCAATTCAATTTGGCATGACTATGACACAATTATTTTAGAAAGAATGTTCAAATTCTGGAACACAAATATACTAAACACATCCTAATAGCCCAAGAAATAGGGCTTGCAGTTATGTAAACTGATCTGGCTTTGTAGTATTCACCTAATATTAGGCTTCATTTTGTTCCATGTCCCAGGCTTCTTAAGAGACTGCCATAACAATTAAACCTCCATCCTCCTAAGAGCCTGTCTACAATGGCTTATGAAGGAAGAGATGAGAGCCAAATTCCAGGTTGACCTCAATTATGTTTAAATGTCAGTGTGCTTTTCCCACACAGTGAAACATATGAACATCCTGAGGCAGACCTCTGTTAAGGGAAATGGGGTCAGGTTCCTTAGTAAGTTTTTTCACCCCAAAGGATAGACAGGAATGTGCTGTTTCTCTGATTCTACAGCAAGATAGAATCACAGATATGTTTATCATTCCATTATAATTCTTTATACTCTAGACCTTATGTTCTCAAACCACTCTTAGAGAAGATCTCAGTGTTTTAGTAAAGTACAAACACCATCAGTCTAGCGTTATTGTGTCCATGTGTGTGCTCCAGATTAGGCATTTTTTTTGTTTGGATTATAAACCACATTACTTGATAAATATCTGAGAAAAATGGGAGTGGATTGTTGGAAAAGAAAGTAAACTTCACTTATTCTATTAATACAATCCTTCTAAGAAAAAAAAAGATTCTTTCAAGTGTTTAGTTTTCTAAATAACTTTGAAATGGAGCAAAGCCATATTCATGCAAAAAAAGTCAAGGTCCTTATTTTCGTATAATTTGTTCTCTTTTGGTTGTTTAGGCCAACAATAAGGTCATCAATTTCCTTGGCAACTCCCACCTCCATTCCCACCCCTATGCTACATTCATGAACTTATTTAATTATGCCCTGCTTTATCTACAAGTGTTTATTTTTTTTTACCTGTTAGAACTATTAATATAGGTTAATTCTACTGTGCTTTTTCAATTTATTAAAATGCTATAGAAGTAAAATCATTTCCCAAAAAAAATCACCTTCGATTTTCAAAAATGAAATATGCATTATTCCGTATCTCTCCAGATGAGTAGTATTTGGTAATATTTCCATCATAAAATTTCAGTAGTTCATCTAACATCAAACAACTGAGGCCTTTTACTCAAGAGACAGATTTGCTTGCATTGGCATCTAGGTAATAACAACCTTAATATCTAATTTCCTGATGTTTAAAAAAGCCAAACCCCTGCTTCTTTAAGGCACACTCTATATAAAACATACTACCTTAAAAGCTATTTTCATGTTTTGTATTTCCAAAGCATATTTTCTACCCAAATAAACACACCCACTACAATACATCTAGTGATATTAACTCACATGCTACTTTCCCCTACCAAACTTGAAGCAAGGTTTCTCAGTTGGAATTAACAATTTTCTTAAATATGTTAAGGACTCTCAATATTTGAGAGTATTCTCTACAAGGCAATAGTGGCAACACTGACTTACTGCCCAGAGCTTAAACAGTTTAAAAATGTTTTATTGCTTAATCCTTATATTTAAAGAGTTAGTCATAAGGAAGTTGGTGGTAAGCTGGCTCAAAGCTGGGTCAGCTTGGGCAGGAAGTGGCTGAGAAAATTTGAGCAGATTTTAAACTACTTTTTAATCTGTTAGCCACTTTGGCTAAACACACCCAAGACCACCTACCCCACTATTCTCTCCTAGCTATCACAGCAAAAAAAAAGGACTCACCAGGAAAAAGGCACTTCTGATGTAACACCACCAAGGTAACTCTCTGGATTTAATGGCTATTTAATATATGCCAGCAATAAAATTATAGCTTTTCTCATAAACATTAAATAGGTCAATCCACAGACCACCTAGGTTCCCTCTCAGATTATTCTGTGAATTCAAACTACAGCATGATATGTAATGCAGACATCTTGCTAGGTGATATTCCTGCTGGTAAATTCAGGAAATCAGGTCACATACCAAACTAAAGCAATCCTGGAAAATGATCTCCTATAACTCATGCAGTCTCTCTTTTTAGGACAAGAGGACTTGAGACATACTTTAAAATCAAAATTGGCTGAAAAGTGATCAGGCTTATCATTTCTGAGTAATCAACTTTAAAACAAGGACACAAATTTATACTCTGAGGCTAGTGACATTTCAGGAATGTAAACCTAAACTTACAGAAAAATATGAAATTAAGCCTCACAACAGGCTGAATTTAAGTTGAAAAGACTTCAATGAGTTTTAATTTAAAAAATTGAGATTTTTAAAAATGTGTTGGATAATTTTTAAGGACAAAGTGACTAAAATTAATGTTGCAAATTTCCAGAACTATTTATTTGGACAAATTCTTGTAACTAACCAAAAAGGGGCTAAGCTAAAACTCTCATATCCCGATTAAGTCAGCTACAAAGTTTCACACTCACCCCCCATATAACCTCAAAAAAAATTGAAATAAGATGGTTTATAACAAATACTGAAAATAAATCATCCTTGAATACTTTTACATTTTCGCCAGTGTACCACAAATCACATCCAGAAACTCAAACAAAATAATCACTAAAATGTTTGAGATCTGTTGCTAAAATCCAGAGCTGCAAGGCAAGAAAAGGAGAATGAAGTGAATAGCCTGACCTCTCTCTTTGCCTGGGCAGCACAGGTCTTTTGGAGCGCCTAAGCCATGTTAGTTTAATACTGTGAGTTCGTAAAAGTCAGCAGTAATACTAAAATAATAATAATAACATAAATAAAAGTAGGCTTTGGTTAGAGAGAAGATCCGTTTACTGCTGCCCTGCTGAGGTACATTTGACCACCAAAGGCAGAAAGCTATTAGCACCGTGAATTAATGGGTATAGTGGTTTTCAAACAAAGTATTTCCATGATGGACACATGTAGACTCAGCAAAGTTTCTCCTTCAAGAAAAATAGATCTTCTATTTCAAAGAGCACTGATTGGGCTTAATACCATTAAGGAACCATCTAGGATTTGTGTTGTTGTTACTGCTTTTAACTATCAGTTACTTTGTAAACCAAAAATTGAGGGTAGTTAACTTGACCAACAGTCAAGATTTAGGAATGCAAGAGCAAATCCAAGGTACAGATGAGCTTCAGATGTAAACAGGCCTTAAGGAGTTTGGAATCTTTTCAGGTTGTCAGGTCGTAGCCTTTCTCACCATCACCATTATCACTGTTATTACTTGTTTAAGCAAAAAAGATAAAAATTCATTTCCCTTATCACATATCCCCTATTGAAAAGCACTGAATACTACATGATTTTAGAAATTCTCAGTAAAGTTTATTGGTGGCAATATAAATCAATTATAATTACAAACAAGACAAATTTACAAAATGAATAAATTCTTAACCATTAATTACCTTTAAAAGTGAACAATATTTTCTTTGTAAATTAGAAAAAATATAACTGTTGAATTAATCTCCATTAACACTTGAAATACAAATATAAGTTAAATAAGTTTCAAAGGATCTCACAATACATGCAGTAAAATAGTCTATAAAACAAAGATAATTTTTCAGTTGCTCAATTTCATTTGTAGCATTTTTTATATAAAAATTTTAAAATAGCATGTTTTTTGGATTACACATAAATGTTCACATCCAGGTGTCTTTTCTAGTACATGCTTAATTCTTCTTCATTGTCAAAATCTTAATTTTCAGTCCTGGTTGGATTTTTCTTCCTTGGCAATTCTTTTTGTTACCCCACTGAAATATTTCTCACGGAAGGAATTATGACCTTGGTATAGGAGAAAATGATCGCTTAGCAGATGTGAATACTGGTCCCGGCTCTGGTAAGTTGGAAAATACAATAGAAAGATGTGTAAGTTACTTCTTTCTTTAGCCTGCAACGAAAGCAGTCACTTACTCTAAGTAAAGTCACATTCTGAGGTAAATTTGCTTATACTTGAATAATGATTATACATAAAATGATTATACATAATCATTTTACAACTGTATAATCCTTGGATATTCATCTCATTGGCTCTTCAAACAGTCCTCTGCACAGAGACAAATACTTTTAATTATCCAGAAAGGACACAGAACTACACCTTTCTTCCTACCTCAGTTGCAGAAATCATCTGCAGCTATGGACAGGAATGTCAAATGAGGAAGCTTCTACTCAAAAAAAAGAAAAGTAGTACTAACAAATTATCATTGTGTGATATCATATAGTCACATAAAACTCTTCAGGGTTATCATTCAGTCAATGCAATGAAGGATTCCCAGCACAGGGAAAGAAGACACATGGTGAACAAGAGACTTCCACACTGTCTCATAGACAAATAAGGGCTTGTGCTCATGGACACAGGAAAAGTCAATCTCAGTTAGGATGTCAAACTTATTTTGGCTTAGAAAACTGAGGGAGGAAAACAGGAAGACTGGCAGGAAACAATGAAACATCAGCTTTTCATCCAATTTCACAAACCATTCCAAACTGTGAAGAAAATCTAATTAGAAATAAAATCTCATTTCCCATGTACTTGTGTAAATTCATATTCAATCACACACGGATTAAGGTGATTTTGGAAAAAAAAAAGTGTAAAGACACAATCACAAAACATGATGCCTAATGTTTTTATGGCTTCAGTATCAAAATGGTAGGTAAAAATATATCTGGAATAAAACAATCTCCAAAATTTTTGTATTTTTGTTTATTCTTATGTGAAATGTTATATCTAACATTAATTTAAAAAACCTAGGTTTAGCCAAAATAATGTTGACTCTTGTTTATCCAGAAACTATTTTTGTAACACATATTTTTAAAAATCATATTAAAAAACCCATTACTAAAAGTTATTACTGGGGATATAGCTCAAGAGGACTTCCACAAAGCCTTGGGCTAGAGCCTCACCAGTGCAAAATGAAAACAAAAACAAAAAACAAATAAACAAAAAGCTGGTTGGGATGTAGCTGAGAGGCTTATTTGCTTAGCAAGTCTGAGGCTCTGGTTTTGATCCCTATCACTGCAAAAATAAAAAACATTTAAAAAAAAGTTCACATATTTCCCCAATTTATTAAAAATAAGTAGATGGCTACTTAAATTTTATGGCACTAAGTATGCTTTAATTCATGCAAGCACATAAAATCAAATCAATGATTAGTGACATGAGGCTCCATATAGCCTGCAAAAGATAAATTTTATATAGTCAACCTGTAGGTATACAACTAAAAATTAGAAAGTGAAAGATAATATATATTAGGTACTTATTCTGAGCCAAAAGCTATACTAACAAATCTTATTAGTTATAAGTGATATATATAATATCATCACCATTTTACTGATGAGGAATTATTTACAAGTATAGGCCTAACACACACAGTTGGTAAGCAGCAGAGCTAGGGTTTGAATACAGATCTGTCTGACTTCAGAGACTGCACACTTAACTACACTTTAGTGATGTTTTCTTAAGGAGAGTTGTTTCCCATCTTAGCAAGCAGCAACAGCACTGGGAAGAAACAGGTGATAAACTGAGGCTTTGATAGTTGAGCTGCCTACCAAGAAAGGAACAGAACTGGCCCTGAAGTATTATTAAATTATTTCTATTAACTAAGAGGATATTCCAATGAGATAAAAGTTGCATACCAAGAGATACAAGGAGCCACAGGGATACTGACAGATATCATAACCCTAGGAGGACAGCAAACTTCACAGGTGGTCCCAAGTATAGTACACATCTCAGGACTACACTCAGGACAACAGCAATAGAAAACAACATTCCTCATTTAATTTTGACTGGTTCAACTTAACTTTTACCAAGTCTGACTGAAGGAAAGGAAGGGACAGCCATCATCATTCTACCAGGTATTCTAAATTCAGCTACTATATAAAAAAAATTACTAGAAAACTTCCTCAGCTACATCAGCTTAATCTTGGCAGAAATGTTTGTCCTGAACTAGAGGCATGACTCAAGTTGTAGAGCTCCTGCCTAGAAAATGTAAGCTCCTGAGTTCAAATGCCAGACTCTCCAGAAATGTTTGTCCTTGGTTTTATCTTAAAGTTATGTACAGATGCCACCATCTCTCCTACTATTATTCTTCTCACAGCTCTCTGTATCATTCTCCCCATCATCAAAAACAGAAATCCAGGTCAAATCCCTTCTTCCTCATCTCACATTTGGTCAGGCCTAAAATCTTAGCTTCTGCATCCTAAATATCTCAAATATACTCCTCTCTGTTTATCTGTACTTTAAGTCTTCCTCATCTCCCCTAAGTTACCAGTTGCCCTGCCCTCTGTGGCTCCTTCTCCAATCCATTCTCCACACTCAGACTAGACTCAATTTATTAAAATGCAAAGTTACTAAGCTACCCTTTAGCTAGGTTCAAATTTTCCCCCAATCCTCAGGCTTTTCCCTTAACATTTGGGAGTTATGAGTCAATTATTTTTCAGTTTACTGAGTGACATCTCACTTGCCTCTCCTGCAGAAGAGGAATCACAATGCTGGGAACAAAGTCGCTCCTAACTCTGCCTTTCTGTCCTCTGTTCTCCCCATGGCTCCTGTAGGCCATGCATGATCAGGTTCTACTCAAAATGCACTATGGGTAACTTCATGGGATAGCCTCCAACAATGAGTAGGCTAGGGTAGGACAGAAATGCGTAGCTCCTGGAGACTGACAAGGATCAGGCACTAGGTGTTTCCCTGACTTTGAGCTTCAGGTATATTCATCACCAAGGGGAAGGAGAAGACAAAAGCCAAAGCACAGCAAAAGACAGGCTTCACTCATGAAGCAAAGAAAGCTTAGAAAGATAGCCTACCTTTGAACTAAGAGAGATTAAGTAGAGCAAACTAGTGATAAAGAATCAAGAATATGTTCAAAGTACATTACACACCATGTATGAAAACATCATGATGAAATCCATTACTTTGTACAATAAATATATAGTAGACCCTTAGGGTTCCAAGGAAACCACTATCAAGGGAAATCCATGAATGCCCAGTTCAGTACAGTACTGTGGATGCTTAGTTAATTTTTCCCAGAATGCTGCTCAACTTCCATAAAGACATGCCTTTCAACAAATCTAAAATGTCCATTTTATCATTTCAACTAAACACATTCACTTTTACCTTGCTTTCTGGGCACCATTCACTTTTTGGGAGGCATTTTCCACAAAATTAAGAGCAGGGAAATGCTCAGCAGATCACAGACCAATTTAAACACAACTGACAATAACACAGAACTAAGAGCTTATTGGCATTGACTGAGCTGTGTAAGGCTCATGCAGGAATTTAAATTCCTTGTTTTTTTATTTTTTAAATTTATTATAATTTTTTGATCAAAACCACCATAATAAATCTGTGACTATGAAGGGCTTATTATATACCAGTAATATTTTTTTTAAATATGAATATGGTGTGGGAGTGTAGCTTAGTGGGACAGTGCTTGCCTGGGTTCAATCTCCAGGACCACAAAACAGACAAACAGACAAAAACACAAATAAAAACAACAGCAAAATTCAAAAGGACAGGGAATATAAGGGTCAGAGATTGGGAATGAACAACAGAAGCCTGAAAAAACTCAAAAGTAAACCATGCTAATGGTTATCAAGAAAATAATTAATACCTATGGCCCTCTTTATCTGAAAAGGCGCAGCATTCCCTCAGAATACAGTATCTTACAGAATTAAAAGCAAAACAACCCCTACAACAGATTATGTTCTGCTCAGTGTCATAGGGACATGGTGGCAAAGTTATATATGGTACTGGGTAAGCTGGAACATACATTAGTTTCAGAAATGTAACCTCTAAGGGAAAATCCTGTTTTATCTCTCAGGCAGTAGAGAAGAATCAGTGTGAAATGTTTTGGGGCTCTATGCTGGAATGTCATCCCTACAAGACCGATTATTCATCACAGAAACTCTTGGCAATCCCAAAATCTCCAAAACCCTTGTGCAGCCAAGGGTTTGGCAGGAACCATTCTATTACCTGCAGCATAAGTGATGCTTCAGGATGTCAGACAGTCCAGGAACTCTGGCTATATTTTCACCTAGGTGTAAAAGTCCCAGTATATAAAATATTCTTCATGAAAGGTTTTATGCATCTTTGGTGGAACACATATTACCGTATAACATACTACCATACATATAAATACCATACACCTATAAACATTTAAAATACACACAGTCCACATGAAATATACTATACTGTAGGTTGCATCAGAACTTATGTTACCAAAATGCAGAAGAAAATGGCAATTTCAATTTTTGTTTTCTCTTTACCTCTCCATTCCATCTTTACTTCACCAGGGTTCACTTGAGATGATGAAATTCAACTCTACATATTTTTCAACACCTTTTCATGACTCTTCTCTATTCACATTCCCTGCCCTTCTTCACCAGGATTATCTGCATTTTTTTTTTAACTCAGTATCTCGAAGGCCAAAGTGTTTACTTAAAAGGAAAAGAGTATACTCAAACAATACAGTCTTTGATCTCCTCATTTGCTCATGCTTGCCTGGTGTTTTGAGTTTTTCTAACATTTCCAAATCTGTCTTCCACTATCAATCATGGTAACATATACATATCAAAGAACCAGAGTTTTGCAAATTTTTAGTAGGCAAAGAAATACTTTTATGTAAAATAAAGAAATAAAGAATTAGGAAAAGTTAAAAGAGAAAACTACAGTGATGAAAAATTAAAGATCACATTTCTCAAATTTCTTAATTATTAATACTAATCAAGGAGAAATGAACAAAATATTTACTATTGATTACATTACTATCATTTCTAAACCAGAAATTAAGAGTTTCTATAGGAAAATTTGTAGTCACAAATGACTACATAATAGAAATA